GCTATATGTTTCTATTGACAATGAAGAGGCTCTAGTTTACTTTTGTTAATTCTGCTCGACGCAATATTTGCATAGTTAATATGGCAGTGAATAAGTAAATAATACAGTTGCGTTAAAGTACGCATGTTTAAATAGCCTTTTGATTTGTATAATATTCCAATACTTTTTGAAATTTTGTTGCTTAGATATTCGATGTGCTGTCTTCATGTAAGATTTTCATCAATATATACTCCTAATAAATGTGTCGTTTTTACTCTTTTTACTTGAATATAATCAATGAATATAGATGGCGCTTCGTATGGTATTAGTTTTTATCTAGGAAAGTGGGTGAAATAGAGTCCAGTTAGTTTTGTCAATATTTATTGTAAGATTATTAACTTTGAACCAATCGGAAATTTTTTCAAGTTCTAAGTTCATAATTTTAAATACTATAGTAATGTTGCTTTGCGATAAAAAAAAAATGTGTCGTCGGCAAGCATTATTGTCCTCAGACTGGATGCTTTATGGAGATCATTGAAATATATAAGAAAAAGAAGAGGTCCGAGTATAGAACCTTGTGGGACGCTAAAAGTAATGTTTGGTAACGTTTTTGGTGATTTATCGTCCCTTTTAAACGTTCTTTACGTAAGAATGTTTAAAAGACGTTTAAAACACATTTAAAATACATTTAAAACGTAACTTTTAAAAACAAAAGCCCGCTGGTGTCAATGTGTATATATTGAGCACGATTATTTTAATAATTCTTTACCCATTTTAAAATGTCTATAATAAAATTTTATTTTCAACATTGCAACATATTAACATTTTAAGGTTTTATTTTTTGAAATAATGATAAAAAACCAAATTACTTTCGAAACGAAACTATTTTGCACCGCAACTTGCGAAACAATTCTTAATGGAAAAAGACTTGGAAAACGCGACATAATAAATATATTTAATTACGTTTTATGAATCAAATACGTATAATTAACTAAAATACTAATTATTATATGATATTGATAAATTTCAGTTGCAAATTTTTATAAATAAAACAAAACTTTTATAAAATTACTTTTTTAAATGTCATTTAATGAATAAAAATTAAATAATGAAGATAGCTTGAACAAAGTTAACATACGAATGCAATTGCGTAATTGGGAAATGCCTTTGTTGAAATTAGGAATGCGTTTGTTGAATTCAAAAAAAGACCTAATTTAAGTAATGAATGCTAAAACTTAATTATATATTAAAAACTCACACTTGTTTTCAAATTGAATGATTTTATGTTTAGTCAGTTTCACTTTTTTATTTTTGCTCTGTTATATGAGTTTTTGCTTTTATTTACTTAATAACAACATGTAAACAAGTAAAATAAAAAAATTAGTTAGACTATATGTAATTAGTAATAAATAATAAGTAAAATAAGTAATTAGTAATAAAAATTTTTTTTGTTGGGAAGGTGGAAAGGGCACTTGCTCCCCCTTGTATCTTTGGCCCTGGAAAATGTTTTAATATGCAACATCCTAACGTTATTGGGGCTAAACAACAGCTGAAATTTTTAAAGCTCTAGCTATTTTGGAGGGTAGTGAAAACTTATTGCAAGACTTTGTAGCAAATTTTGACTTTATGTCAATGAGTCTTTTTTCAAAAATTTCGATGAATAAAGGCTGAGAACGAAAAAACCTCATAAATTCAACCCAAAAAAACGTGAGGGGCAACAAGTTGATAAAATAATTTTTGCATTATTCTATACAGACATATATTCATTGATAAATTTTAAGTTTCATAGTACTATCTCTTAGCGTTTAAAAATTATGATCATATAAAGTTTAAACCACCCTCAGAGGCAGATTGTTAGTCCTTGGCCTTGCCATAAGGCCAAAAATTAAGGCCTTGGCATTTTTACCTCATATGGTTTTATTGTTACAGCAATTGTTTTCTACAGTTTTGTTAATAATTGGCCTTAACGCAAGCCAAAAATTTAAGTTTTTGGTCTAGAAAATGTCTGCGTAGGCCTTGGCCTTGAAACTTTTATTCTTGGCCTTTGCCTTGTAACTTTTGGCCTTGGTCTTGGCTTTGGCTTTGTAACATGTGGGCCTAGCCTTGGCCTTGATAAGAACTCTGATTTGAGAAGATTACATTGAAAGATTAGAATCATATCAATTTTTTTCATTTCACACTCATTTCATCAATAAAGAATCATTAAAAACAATGAGTCTTTATTGATGAAATGATAAAACACAGTAAAATGAAAAAAGTTTGATGATCGATTTTCTGCTTTTTTATAATTTCTCTGTTCTTTTAAGAAAATACAACACTTTATTTCATGCATACATACATACATACATACATACATACATACATACATACATACATACATACATACATACATACTATATTATATTTATTGTATTTATACTTATTATATTTCGCATATTGTACTTGTTGTTAGATTTCAATTAAAAAGTATTTTTAAAAACGGAAATTTTCTCTATAAGTTTTCATAACATAAAATTTAAACACATTGAGATCAAATAAATTTAACATACTATATTTATTATGATTCTAATTTTGGGGTATAGAAATTAATGTCACAAACTGCAATAAATCTTCGCAAAGTGTAAATTTATGAATTTTTTAAACATTTTAACAAAAATTATAAGGAAAAAATTGACCTATGTTGTCACAATAAAATTTAAATTGGTGAAATTTGCTTATTGCAAACTGAGTTTGTTGGTTTCTGGATTTACCCATTGCTTCAATTGAGGTAACGTTTCTTTTGTAGTGGACTGACCACCAGCTTTTAATATCGTAAACTAGAGATGAACTCTTTACATCAACAACTAAAAACTTTCTTTGATTACTACTTTTTAATATAATTTTTATTTCTTGGACGCTGTACACTCTATCATGCCTTCTTAACTCTCTTTTTATAATTGAAAAGTCACCTTCACAGGACAAAAAGCTGTGCCCTATGATTGGGAAAAATTGGTTGATCATTTTAATCCCCTTATTGTCAGTAAGCGCCTTAAAAAGTTTTGAAAAGCAATGGTTTTTATTTTGACCCCCTCCCCAAAAGATGAGTTTATCATACTCTTGAGGACAGGTAAACAGGTAATGTAAAAGAAAGGAGCAAGTTTCATTTGGAGACTTTCTAGCCTGCCCCTCGTGATAAAGGTAGAGTGGTGCAACGTTTCTCTTCACATCATGAATACACTAACCGTTAACTGCCTTAGGTAAAATAACTCTTGCACAGAAATTTTGGGGAATGAAATGTTTTGCACATAAACTACTGCTAGGGACAAAACATTTACATTTTTTTGCTTAGCAACTTCATTAAGGTGAGGTGATTTTATCTTTGGCTTTAGCTCTTCGCATATGCAAGAGGTTTTTACTTAATGTTTCCCGAAACGTAAATGAAAGGGCTCATTGTAGGAGTTATAATAGGACTTATAACTGAACTTTACCCCTTCATTTTTTTCATGAATAGTTCATACATTAACTTCACGGTTTAATCTTCACTCAAAAAATACCTTTCCTTTCCGCCTTAGTGTATCAGTTTTTTTGGAAAGAAGTCTATCTAAGCGTATACCTTAGGTAGTATATCATGACTGGTAAAGTAACTCGTATGTACTCTTCTCAAATTTTTAACTGCTTTTCCATCCATTTTTAAACCCCTTACTCTTCGAAACCTGTTTTCTGACTCAAAAAATACTGACAAAAATGCCACAACACATACCTGTACTCGTTCATCTCCGATCAAAACATGATACTTAAATTCCTTTTTGTTTCTGCCGTTACTTTTTCTTTTTCGTACTTTCGTACACGACTTTTTCCCTTGCAATCTCTTGAACCAGGCCTTGTCCTTACAATATCCGTAACATCAATTAACCCGTGTAAAAATAAATCCTGCTCATCTTTTGTATTGAAGTGGCTGTAGAAGTTTATAAATGTATCATCTAAGTTGTCTTTGCCAATAGATTCAAAACACTTTCTTAAACAACTGAAAAAAAAATTTACTTTATACAAAAAATTATAGGTAGCCTAGTAAAGGAAAAAAAATAGAGTTTAAGTTAAAATACGATAACTGATTGTAGAGTACCCTGAAAATATCATTCTATTGTCTGAAGCCTACAAATATTTACAACCTAAACAAGCAATCAATAACTTAGGTCTACAGGCCAACTATAAATTACAGAGCTTAAATCAAATTTTAGTCAAATTATTACAATTTGGCATAGACATATTGTTAAATTAAGAATTATTGCGTATTATCTCTTACCTGCATGGATCTCCGATAGACTTTACATCAACTTTTTTGTCCGCTGTGGTTTTCATATGCCACACCAGTAAGACTAGATTTCTTAATCTTGTTTCTTTTATAATCATCTGGGTTTCTTATCTTTTTTTATAGTTTCTATGATCAGATTCACTACCACTATCACCCATTTAAAAAAGCAGTTAATCAACTTAAATCACTATTAAAATGATCAAACGTAATAAGTCAACTTTATTCACCACGCTGTTGCGCAATCAAAACAACAAAGTAAAGTAACGTTTGGTCCGTCGTCTTCAGCGCAAATTTCTTGTTTTTTGTTAAAAGGGCTGAAGTCCGGACTTAAGCCCTTTTAACGAAAAACAACGTTTTTTGTTGGATGTTTTCAAAAGAGTTTAAGTCGTGCTTTTAACGAGCAAGGACTTTTAAATATTGTATATATTGTATCATATCGCCTTTGTATATCACTTGTATCAGATAACCTTAACCTGAACCTAATGTATAACAGTCGTATTCGATATAAAACTTAGTAAATTCGATTGATGGTAAATAAAATGTATATATTGTACATAATCCACCAAAAATCGAGTAGTTCTTCTTCCCGCCTGAGATCAGTCTATACTGGGTAATGCAAAATTAAACTCTTCTTTCATTAAAACTAACCACAGATTTGTTTTTTTGATATTAAGTACAGTAGAGCGAATTATATTCTTTGAAATTAAATAACAACACCTGGGGTCAATGT